ATCTCTGTCATGATGGCTCACAGTTGAAGACTGACTGGATAAGTATTTCCACAGGAAAATTATTTGGGTCAACATTCACATATGAGACGAAGTCTCTACTAGATAACACATTACCTTCCTCAACTATTAATATACCTAGAGTGTAATAATACGAAAAAATTACTATGTGCAAATACTCGGTTTGTTCCAACTTTTTTTGGTAACTTTGGGAGGTGGCTTGTAGCATGATGTTGGACACTCTCTACATCAATAACGTCGGCCTGACATTCTTCCCTATGTTTCCAAATCCTCCTTCACAGGTTTAATCTCTCTTTGCTTACAGGTCATCTTAAACCATGTAAATCCAATAGAGACCAGCTAATTTTCCAGTGAATGAGTTACTTATGATTGGAAGTGGCCCTGAAGCAGAATGCTGGATCTAAATACACACAACCTTTGAGAACTTTGTGTGTGAATTCTACTCAATTTAAGAGCTTAGCCATGTTTTTATCTGCAATATAATCCTTCATGAGACTTCAGAAATACAATAAAATTGCAGATGTGCATCTCTGATAAGAATTCTCCATTCATAGTATAGCAGCCTGTAACTAAACCAGATAGGTATTTAGATTTTATGAAGACAGCTTTATCCAAAATACCATATAAAGGAAAAGTTATCAGAGGTTATAGATGGTGGGTAGAAGAAAGCAGTGAGTCACACTCACCATGAGTAAAAGTGCTGAGCCTCTGAAAAGCATTGCTAACGTGTCTGTGAAAAAACAGCTCGCTCTTCCTCTCCACAACAGCATTTCTGAAATAAGACAACCGAGTATTCAAGCGGCAAAACCAATACTCATTGTTGCAACCCTGGGGGGCAGGAGCAGGGACGTTCCAAAGTTCTACATTTTTCAAGCAAAGAGCTGTCAGTAGCATTTTTTAATGCAGAATAGTCACTCATCTGGACCATTCAGACAAATCCGATGGTCTTTCATCGACCCAAAGGAGAAAAAATAAAAAATAACTATTTTTAATACAGAATATTACAGGCAACAATCTTCCAAGAGCAATGGGAATCAATGATTTGGAACGTATCTTTTGTAATTGATGGGTGGATGCCGTTAGGTGATATGTATACAGCAATTTCAAAGACAGCAGGTAAAAATCTCAGAATACGCTTGAGTCTCCACCTTTCAGGCAAAAAGCATTTAGTGTTTATTATACATCCACTGGAATAAAGCTGGCAGCAAGGCAGTTCAAGCCAGCAGAATTAAAGGTGAAAGATGTACGATTTCATAGTCAGAAACATACATCAAGAACTGCTTCTCAAATACTTCAAATCCTGATCTCATGCACTACTTAGCTTTGTGCACTGAGTAATCTTACTGAAGTCAAAAAGACTATACTTAGTTTTTAAACGTTAAAGACATACAAAATGTTTTAAAGAGCTCCTTAAAAACATTAAGAAGCAAGAGTAATAGTTCCAATGCGCGCAGAAGTCTTTCCTACAAAAGTGCCCTTGGAATTGCATGTATTTTGGTAAAATCCTCCTCATCAAAATAAATCTTAAAAAATAAATCTTTCTTTTATCAGGGCCAAGTTCTGTATGATTCACAATGACTAACACTGTGTCTTGCCCTGTGAATAGGCTCCTTTGTGCTCAAAGGGAGGAAAGGTGGTAAGAATCTTACACTTGACAAATTCACACTTCCCTACTATTATGAGCATATGTAGGACAAATTGCTTTACTTCACCAAACTACAAGGAAATTCCCAAGAAACAGGTGTGCACAGAGGAGAGCAGAGGAAGGAAAAAAAACAGGTTTGATGCCAACAAAACATTTCACGTCATTATTTTCTTGCCTTTTTTTTTCCTCCCTTGTTACCCTATAAGACTTTCTACTAGAACCAAAACGATGGGCTTAATTTTGAGGAGCACTAAGGCAGCAAAGGAGGATGTACAAGGAATTATTTTACCCAAAATTGAAGACTCTCAACCAAAGGGTGGGGGAAAACTTGTCCAGAAAGTCTTTTCCCGACGTTCCTTTCTCCCTTAAAGCACTCATCAATACAATCAAGATGTTTTTGAATAATCAAAATGTCATTTCTGAGAAAATGAACTTGTCACTAAAAATTTAGTCAGCTCTAGAGTATAATTGTCTACAGCATTTTTAATTTTTTTTTTTAAGAGAGATTCTCTGCCCCACCTCCAGAAAGTTACAGCTAAGAACACAAAGCCGAAGCCAGGCAGGACCAAGGAGCTGTTATTACCACCTACCCTCCCTTTTCAGATCTACTTCCAAAGCAAAACCTGAGCTTCACCTCGTTCAGACAGTCACACTTCCACTGCAAGCCATGACTGCCTGACACCAGCTGACAGCACCACTACACTAAGTCCACAGCGTTACTCTTACCCCATCCTTCTCTCCCCCTCCCCACACCCACAAATAACACTGCCCCCTGAACTAAGGCATCCCTGAGGGACAGTAGACAGGAATTCTGTTATCATACTCTAAGCTCCTATGTATTCCCTCCTAACTTCCTTTTAAACCTCCTGCCACGCATTTTGGTTGCATACAAAGGTTGTAGAGGAGGCTGAAAATTTTAATCTCAGGAATTCAGACTGTATTCCTGTACAGGTTAGCTGAGCACTAGAGAATATAATCATTAGTTCGTAAGATCTGTTTGCTCATTCACTGTTATCAGTAATATTTATTGCAACAGAAGTTCCCAGGAGGAATTAGGGTCCCACAGTGCTGAGCACTAACAACACACTCAAGAAAACACCTACCTTCCCCAAAGACCTCTCAGAAATTATAACCACTGACAGGTACACGCAGCAAGCAGATGCATAAATACTACGTTGGAATAGCAAGCACCAGGCCTGGTGTACCTCTACCAAGAGTTTTCTGAAAACCATGGCAGGTAGGAATTTTCAGGAACAAGTAAAAGGAAGATGATAAAAAGCTTTACTGTACTAAGCATGCTGTCATCTTTGTTTCCACCCAGATTCCCCACTACCATCAGTTGTTAGCAGCGACCCATTACTTCTGCAATTTAGACGGCTGCACAGCTAGCGTAACTCCTGTACTTCAATACAGCCACCCATTTCCCAACAGCTAAAGAGTCAGTCATAGTAACAGTTGTTGTATTTTTAAATTTGCAGGAAGACATTGTTGGTTTTCTCCATTCACTCTCACAAGCTACACTAGGTTGGAGGTTAAGAGAGATGGAGAGAGAGAAGGATAGAGAGAGGGATTTCTTTTACACAGTACAGCTGCCACTATTAAACCAAGACAGGCAGAACATGCTATGGAGCAGGGAAGACCTGGGAAGAGCAGGAACTCTCTTCACCAATGCTGGAGATCCCTCTGCTCAAGCAAGATAAGAATTCTTTCAAATACATCACCATTCTCTCTGAAACTGCTTCCCTTTCTTTAAAAATAAATTCCAAATAATATTTGACTCCAAGCACACACAGACTATATTCTGATTTAGCTTATTCAGCCATTAGCACAAGGTGAACATTTCATGATTTGCTCACACATTTTATCCCATCTATTAATCACCACCTGGCCACAAAGCCAAATTCAAACAGTGTTTGGAACTGAGTTCTGAACAGGGTCCCTAGCCAAACAAGAAGGGTAGAATGAAGATACCCCTACCACGTTTAAGAGCAGATGAAAATGTTCCCCTGTCCTATTAAAGCAGATAAATTGCAAGAATCTGTAACCCAATAAAGTGACATTTATTTTCTGGGTCATCATATCTCCCAACTACCTCAAAAAGGTTCTCTTCAGGACAGGGAGCTACTTTTATCACACATGACTGTGCCTAAATGTGAGGAGCACTTGATCTGTTTCACCCTTACACAGTTTATGGGAACAAAGCAGTCACCTTTCTCCACCTAGTCCCCTGACCAAAGGGTGCTAGTTCTAAATTAGCGTCTTGAGTACTTCCACAAGATGGAGACCCTGCATGGCACATCCCACATGGAGCCTGGGATTTATCCTCCTGAAGTTAGAGTTGGGTCAGGTGGACAAGCCTCACCCCAATCTAAGCAGTGCTGTCTTCTGTTACATGATTCATAGTTACACATCACACAGCAGAATATAAAAGTCCAAAGGAAGGAAGATTTGAGATATGATCTTTCAATTATCATCTAGCCATTTCCTGCTCTATAATACAAGATATTTAACACTAGCTGTCAATCATGGAGACTAACTAGAGAGGAAGAGTGCACTCAAATGAAAAGAACCGTGTCTGATGCAAAGGTATCTTCAGTGTCGAGAGAGACTAAAACTATCCTGTGACCAGTTTTCATTTCAGACGAAAATTCTAGTCTAAAAACAAACAGATTTAGCTTCACAGACTGCAACGGAAATAACTGTGAACAGCACTGAGCTGGGCATGGAATTTAAGACTTTATTTTAAATAAACAATACTGTACCTCACTTTGCACAAGGACTAGTTTATCTGCAAATGCACTTCACTTGTACTGGTCAATTTAATCAAGATTTTAAAGGGGTTCTCTCAAAGGGTTTTGTTAAACTGCTTAGCAAGTATTCTAGGATGCTTTTGGGGAGCAATACAGCTGCTGTGTTTTACAGTGAAGCGACCATTTTAAACAAGATTTTACCAGATCCCTCCCACATGGCAAAGAAGTGTTTTCTTCCAATTCTCAGAAAAGTCAATAAATTTGTCAACAAAAACAGATTTCAAAGAATTATTAGAAGCATATTTCACAATAACTAGAGCAATCATATTTATGTTCCAAAATGGAGTACGAGACAAATTAACCGACAGTTGTAGCAACATATTGTATCTGTGAATTACACCGCTCCCAGGAACAACTGTGTTCAGGAATGCACAATGGAAGCAGGAGATAGGTTCAAGATGTTTTGGAGGAGGCTGAATTACAGACAGATGTATCTAACAGCATGTCTGGTCAAAACAAATTAAAGCAGAAACATACATAAGAAAATAGATGAAGACGACCAAATCGTGCCGTTACCATTAACATACCTTGCAGTGACACCTGTGGCTTTCCACGATAAGAAGTCCGGAAGATCAAAGAAGTAGCCTGCCTTCTCCCAGCATGATTCTTGCAAGTTCTAACAAAAAAATTGTTAGAAATGCAGACATTAGAGGCCAGGCATGATCTAGTCCTTATTTTAATGCAATTAAGAAACTTGACATTTACGTAAAAATGACAATTTTTCCAAACCACATATTCTGATCATCCATTCTGCTCTACTCACCTCACAGTGACATACTGCCTGAAGAACTGAGGCTGTCCCCCACCACAGACTGATCACAAGAAGAGTTTCCCAAGAGGTTTTGGGCAACCTGGTGTAGCGGAGAGTTTCCCTGCCCATGGCAGGGGGGTTGGAACTAGATGATCTTTGAGGTCCCTTCCAACCCAAACCATTCTATGATTCTATGATCCTATGATTCCCATCAAGGGTTCATGGAGGCACATGTTTCAGATCAGGAATATGATCAGCTCTCTGTTCCCTGTCAGCTCCTCAATGTCAGAGCAGTCTAAAAGTCAACAGACAACCTTCTCAAAATATATTTGCTTGAAGAATGCCCTACTTTCTAAAATTAACCATTTTAAATTTAATATTTTTAATTATAATTACGAGAAGAAAAGAAACAGCTCTGCTAGCACACGAAGGAGGCTTTTGAATCTGTTTCAAAATGACTGAAATACGATCGAAGCATGCAAGAACCTGTGAGCTTTCAGTGAAACTTTTTTCCACAGCTGGGACATTCGGGAGCTCTCAGCTGCCTGGATTAACCAGTAACAATCAGCTCTAAATCCACACTCCAACCCTACAGTTGCCATCGCAGCACACACGTGAACTCACACAAACAAACAAACAACAGAAGTTTATCTTTGCAAAACTTCCCTGAAATGCAGAACAACGCACGAAGCAGTATGAACGCTGACGCTTCCACTTGAAAACAGGATCAACGCTATTTCTTCAGCTGAGGGAATGACTGAAGACAGCTACAAGAAAACACTCCAGTTAAGAGTATGATACCTGCAAGCTCCTGATAGCCACGTGACATTTCCACACTCCCAAAAAAGCTCTTCTACCAAGATAGATCTTTTATAGAGTCTCCAACACTATACTCTCCAGAGAGCTAGTGGTCCAGGAAGCAAGAGGTCTTTTGGAAGAGGCCCATCCTATCACCTTGGCCAGGCTCTGTTCCTCATTTCTATCTTCAAAATTCAGTCTGATTTCAGCTTATGACAGCAATGAATATTCTTAAGATTACTTTTCCACGAGAACAACCTCCACACTTGCTACTGGTATCAGATGATGATGAATGGGAAGAAAGTTTCCCTAAGAGCAAATTTTATTCCAGGGTGACATAAAGAGTGAGCATCACTGTCCTGCAATACAACAATACCATCCAATGGCCACCTCTAGCCTCAGTACATTAAAATAACTGAAGACTATCAAAACCAAACTAAAGACAGTGCTGCTGAACACAAGGTTCACAAATCAGACTTCCACAGAAAGACAAGATTGTTTTAAAAACCTCCACCAGCTTTTTAAATAATTCAAACAGTGTGAAGTTTTCTCACTTAAGAGCAGCTGTTGTACTAGAAATGCAAATCCTAGCTGGGGTCTGTTGGGCATGGAGCAAAAATGGAGCTTTTCTGGAGCAAAAATTAACTACAAGCAGTACCAAGAATATACATGCTGAATTAAAATAAAAGATAAGTCAATTCTAAGAAATACTATTTGGCTCTATAACTTAATTCAGATACAATGTGATTTCAAACTAGTATCTTCCAAGTCCATAAAGTTACTGAAATGGAATACATGAATTCCAGAAACTAAGGTGCAACTGGGTAAGTATAAAAAAGTAAAATTTTGTTTAGTTTTGGATCATGGAAAGAATCTGTCGTCTTTGAGCTTGGTTCCTCAAAAGCTTCTAAAATTTACTGAGTTCCTATCGATTTTAAAAAAATAAATACTCTAATTGCAACTTCTTAACATAAAATGCACAATCCTTCCTTGGATGCCTGTTCCTAAACATCTGAGTCTAGCTTACCTCCCAAACTTCCTCACACCAAATTTAGCTTTGTATGGGAAAGCAAAGGTGCTCCACAGTTTAGCACAAAGGTCACCTGGCCTGATTATTTTGGTAATATAAGCCATTATCTGTCAGTAACACATCTGACAGTCTTCAAGAAGAAACCGATTTAGTTTGGCTATTAGTGTTAATCAGAAAAGAAACTGCATTAAGAATAACTGTCCTCTTCAAACAACTCTGTTTCATCAAAGATACTCCTTGGATCCTTATTCTACTACTCCAAGAATTCCCCAAAGCCACATGTCAGTGACACTAAAATATGTTGTTTCATGAACATCCAAATGATTCATTCTTTGCCATCTTGATGCTTTGTCATCACTAATTAGTACAGACAAAAAAATCATAGCATGCCCTGATGCTTTTTCCAAACAAATTTAAAAGCCTCCATGTTTTCGACACTCACTGAAGTTAATTCTAATTTATTTTCACTCACAGTCAGGAATCTGTGACCACATTAAAAGGATTGTGGAAAAGATCCGGGAACGTTCCCAATGCTGTATTCATATCCTGCGACTCACCCTCCGAACTCATTTGTAAAGAAACTAATTCAATCCTTCTACTTGCCAGGGGTACTTATGGAGACCCCTTTATTCGTCTCTCTCTCTGGTTGTTTTGGGTTTTTTTAACAACTATACCTCCAAACAATAATTTTTTGAGATCCTTACAGATGACCTCAAATATGTGGGGGCAGAGAGTGTAAGAATTACAAAATACAATGTCTAGAGCCGGACAGACCTTCACTGCAGTTTTTACCCGGCTCTGTTGATGCTCTTCACTGCTGTGGTGTTGGTTTGCCACAGCAGGGACACCCGTGTAGTCACGTTGCACTGACAAACACTTGCAGTAAAATAAATAAGTGAGCGTGCCATTTCTTTAGCCAAAGTCAACAAAATAGCACAACCTGCTCAGCAAAGCTGCAGAAAGGGTATCTGCAGCTACAGAAGTAAAGAGCTATTGCAAGAATGTTTTGCGAGGTAATTCTAAATAACGAAGAAATCTTAGGAAATAACAGCAAGAGGAGTGAATTTAATCGATTAATCTGAAAGACCTAGTAACCAGGGACTACTTTCCTTTTCAGTGAAGTTTACATTCAAGCTTATCTTATTGACTTCAGGAAGACTTTGTCAGAATTATCTTTTAGCTAGTTTCTAAATATTTGTGAAAAGATAATGATTCTTTATTTCAACCTCATCTACAGTTGACATTCTTAATTCAGCTTACCTCACTCAAAAGTCAAATGTGACTGTATCTGCAGAAACTAGCTTTTTTAAAAAAAATAATATATTTTTCTTTTACACTACAGATTTAACACTGGACTCTCTTTATCACCACACAGGGTCCACACAGGCAGAGAAATACCACGCTCCTCATAAGTGGACCACAGATGTGCACCTTTAAAAAGACTGCCCCAGAGCCTATACAGTAGCTGCATTCAGTTGACCATTTACTGCAAACAGCTGTCCCCAACATGCAAACTTCACTTGCAATGATGGCTTTTTCACATGAACACTTACCTGCAGTCACCAACATCGAGACCACCCAATTAATTTCATGGAGACTAACCACGAGGTGCTAGAGGGTGCAAGGATTTGGCAGCGATCAGACTAAACTGAATGCAAGCCAATACAATTCAAATAAAACATCTCAAAAAACCTATCATGGCCTTCATAGTTTAGTTTCTTAAATCACAAGCAAAATGGAATAGAGATGAAGAGTTGGAAGAATGCTCTGAAGTCTCTAGTTAAATTGCTATTCTGTGTACGCTGAGAATCTAAGGAGATTAAGAAAGATCTTTAAAAGAAAGTATTACATGGAAAAGAAAGTAAAAAAGCAGCAGATGAGAGTAACTTGTGACTTGAAAAACTGCAACAAATAAATAAAAGTCAAGCGTACCAGGAAAGCCACAAGAGATAAGACCATCTACTTCTTGTATAATGACGTCAGCTCATTCCTCACAGGCAGTGAGGTCATCTTCAATTCTAAAAACAAGATGATGATGGGAATGGAAAAGCCTAGTTAGGTCACCTTAGCCCTCTCCCCCTTCCCCACCCTCTTCATTACTTCCAATCAATTCAGAGTAAATTTGCGAAGTCATATTCTTTAGTAACACTTTCAGTTGCTTAGATGAAAATTCCAGTAATAGAAATTCTATTCCTTTCTTTGAGGGACAGCCTAATCACTCAACACTTAGCAATACTGCTGAACTGATCTATGTCAGACCCTTCCTCACAGCTGTCAAGTTTTCAGATTCTACAGGTAGTAGAGCCCAGGGCAAATAGTGAGATGGCAGCATCTGCTAACAGATCCACATCTGCTATCTTCCACAGTCAGGTTAGCATCATGTAAAGGGAGAGGGAGGCTTTAGTGACAACATACACACAATTAGCTACAGGTATAGAAACAGTCCAAAGGGTCATTTAGTATCAGTACCTTAAATAACTAACCTCAAAAAGTGCATCTAGTTAGTCTCCTAAGTCACTGGTCTCCTAAACGACTTTTAACAAATGTCGTTTACAGTCACAATTTATCTTGTATTAGCAAGACTGCAGTTTCACATGACTGACTCCATGAATATGGAACATGGAACACAGAAAAGTCAAGGGAATATCTGCAACATTTATCAGTTAGGTAATAAACTCAAAAAGAAACATTTATAGTTATGCCAGCCTAAATAAACGTTGAAGCTCAAGAAAACAATGTTCCAAAGAACTGAGGATCCACTGAAAGGAACGTATTTCATTAGGACTCATTTTAAGGTTCTTCCAGTTACATGCCGTTTACTGTTACAAATACATGAGGTCTGATTAAAAGAAAAGTATCCAACATTTTCCCAGTGAAACAAAAGTTAATTCTGCTAGTTACCTCAATGGGTCAACAGCCAACACTCACGTAGCAGGATGCACCCCCTGACCTGGAGTATGACTGACAAAGTGTATGGACATGGGGTTTGGTTTGGGTTGGGTTTAAAACATCTATGTGTGGTATGCGTTGCAGCCACGTCAACCTTTCTAATCAAAACCTTTCCAGAAACATGATGCCTACCAAAGGGACAAAGGCCCAAAGTAGCCTTTGGATACAGCTGGGTTTAGCCAGTTTTGATTAGGGCCAGTCACAGAAGAACGTGCCCAAACCATTGTTTGCCTTAAGTTTCTGGGATACTGTCAGGTATGTGACAACTAAAGGGAGGAATATTAAGAAAGGAATAAAGAAAGAAAGGAAAAAAACCATCGCTACAGTCCATAGCATGGAGATGTTGACTGGGAAATGATACAGTTCACTATCTCATACTTTTCAAGAACTAAAAGGCAAATGAAGGTTTAGGAGCTTATTTCAGAAAAAAAAAGATACCTGTACACAAAGTACAGTTAAACGTTGGAAGTCATTACCACAGGACACAGCAGGTGCAAAAAGTGCGTGCGGGTTCAGAGAAGATGAACTAAATTGACAGAGCAAAACGCTCACTACTAATCAGACAAATACGGAGTCAAATGGGTTTCTGGTCTGACCCAATATGGTTACTGCATCAAGCAGCAGGCTGCACCACTTCCAGTCAGATGGCTGGAAATAGTTCTGGAAATACTGGAAGTGTTTTCAGAAAAAACTTGAACCAACTGTACATATTTGCAGAGGTTGGCAGAAAATTCTGGGAGAGCATTATACAATACAGCAATAGACTTTTGGGATGCTTTGAGAAGGGTCCTAGTTTAAAGCAGCTCCTGAGACTACACTGCTAACTGGAGCATGCAGTAGCTTGGTAGGAAAGGTTGGTTCCCATATGATACAGAAAACACCAGCAGAGATGAGGATTTAAATAAGACAAACAAACTACTCAGATCCATGATACTTTGGGGAAACCTTGCTGGTAGCATATCTGATGACATTTAGCAGTCAGGAAAGCTGGAGCGACCAAAGGCCAGGATCACAGCCAGGCACACAGTGTGGGCAGACACGATGTAAACTTCCCCAGGCAGTTCTGCCAACACACCTCAGCCCTCACATCCAGAGCTCACAACGATCCCCTTTTGGCCCTCTCCTCAGCAACACCGAGGGCCACATTTTACAAAGAGTCTCATTTTATGCTCATGAAGTTCCCACCCAGCCAATTGACTCAACATGTGGCCGACACAAACCAGGTACAGTGCAGTTATTTTCTGAATACCAGTTGTCACAATTAAATAGGAGCACAATGGGAATTCCAGTTTCAACTCTGCCAAGCTTTCAGATATTCTCATTTAAAAAGGCTAAAATAAAAAAAAAATGTTTCTTTCTACCTGTTAACCTTGCAAAAACCCCAAGGGATGTGAAAACCAAACTTCCTTTTTGCCAGCATGTGCATTATCACTCGCTTAAGAAATAATCCTGCAATCTAAATAGAGTATTTTTTCCTTGTGGTGTATCAGTTAGATCAAAATCTAAGTCTATTGCATTTCTGGGAACTGTGCAGCTTTAGCAGGATGGAAATACACTAAACACAGAAAAGAAAGATGATACAGCTCAAAAAACATGAAGGACACATTAAGTACCATTTTATAAGTAGTTTTTCTGACCATGCCTGTAATACCTGTGTCACAGTTTATTCATCTATAACACATTAATAACAAAGAATCTGAGGAGACTCAAGTAATTTATTATTTGTAGACCACTTGAAGACACTCAACTGAACAACAACATATGTGCAAACTGGTGGTTTAGCTCTCATTTGGAGAACCTGACAGCCAAAGTTATTGTAAAATATGCCTTCCTCGTCAAAAAGTGAGAATGCTTGCATTACAGAAGGCTGAATTTCAGCAGTCAGAGGCTAACAAGAACTTTTGCTGCTGGCCCTAAAAGTCATGTAATTCTCCAGGGAGATCTTACAGCAGCCTTCCTTCCAGTACATAAAGGGAGCCTACATGAAAGCTGAGCACGTAGTGATAGGACAAGGGGCAATGGCTTTAAATGGAAAGAAGAGAGATTTAGGTTAGATCTAAGGAAGAAACTTTTTACAATGAGGGTGGTGAGGCACTGGAACAGGTTGCCCAGAGAAGTTGAAGATGCCCCATCCCTGGAAGTGTTCAAGGCTAGGTTGGATGAGGCTTTGGGCAACCTGGTGTAGTGGAAGGTGTCCCTGCCTGTGACAGGGGGGTTGGAACTAGAAGATCTGTAAGATCTCTTCCAACCCAAACCATACTATGGTTCCATGATTACTGTGATCGGCAGTGAAAACAAACCATCACTCTTCATACAATTCCTTTCACCCTTCTACGTTGCACCAAGTATAGAAGCAATAAGCAAAGACTCCATCACACGGCTCTCTGAGGCCAAAAAGTTTTAACACTACATGCCCGCATCTCGACTGATTACAACCAACTCTGTAATAAATGTTATTGCTCCTTCTCAAGAGCTAGCTGAGGTGTTACTGCTAAGCAGTTTAACAGGATGTCTTTGCTCGTCCACTCAGGATGCAGGAACTGTCCTGTGAGCAGCTCAGCAAGCAGACACCGAGGTAAAAAAACCCTTCTCTTAAGGATAATAATCTCTTTAGCTGGTACGTCAGGAGCTGAAAGGGGTCATATGAACAAGCCCTGTTCTGTAACAGCCTTCTGCCAGGCAACCTCTGCTACTGGGCAAGCTGAATTCTATTTCTTACCCATTTGCTCGTGGAGGGAACAAGCCCTGCAACACCTGCTCTCCCCTTTATACTCCAGCAATTATGTCAGAGGGCTTTGAGGCCATCGCACAGACTTACATCTCTGAGTGATCACATTCAGAGACCCACAATCTGTGTTTTCCTGATCAGCCAGGTACTGGTATTCCAGATCTTGCAATATAAAAATGTTTTAAAAGCAATGGATTCATTTAAGGCTTGTACAGCTTCACTTTTTATTATTTATAAAATGACTGACATATGATACTCACAGCTGAAGAAGGAAAGAACTAGTAGATGGATATTCATATTTCAGTATAGCATCTACAAACATTCATTATCCTCTATTATCATTAATCTGCCAATACCTGCTTCTACCAGTTAATTTCTTTGACTTTCCCCAATCTGCACCCTGTTACTGTATGATGTTTCATGTTTGTAAGGATAGGAGATTTTGGCTGCTTGAAACTGGAAGCAAGTAGTTTCCATTTGGGTTTTGTTAAAATGATAGCAAGCATCGAGACCAAAGGTAAAAGCCAGATTGGAGGCAGTTATAAAAATTCAAGTGGCAAGGGTTTCTCCTTTTATCTGACAGTTATTATTAAAAGACGGTATGTCATCTTGCGACACACAAAATTTAAACACAAGAGACAGACGTAGAGTTCCACATTATGAACAGAGCACCTTCCATCTACAGATGGCCTACCTCCTACAGATGGGACAGAACCAAACTGAAGCTCTAACTGAACAGTTTCTCAGACATCACTCAACACCTCACTGCTGGATGCAACACCTCAAAGGCAGTACCTCTGGCCAGGATACCCGATGCTGAGATGGTGCTGTTTCCAAATCGCTATAAATCCATCCCAAAAGTAGCACCTACACCCCAGCAAGTACGTCCAGCTCCAGTACTTGGAGCAGGAAATATGCTTCCATAACTAAATCCTAGGATACTTTGAGGGCTCATTTCATTACCTGCAACTAAATTTGTATGTATAATTAACCTTAAAATCACATAAGAAAGGCATATGAAATGTTTCAATCAGGAAACACTAAATTTCAATAAAATCAAAGATACTTCTAAATAATTGAGAAGAAAAAAAGAACCTCAAAACATTTTCATCACAAATTAAGGCTGGCCTTGCTTTGCACACCTTTGGGTTCAACACTAAGGCCGAAGACTTTTGTTTTAGAAATTTCATCCTCAGAAATTAACAAAGGGTATTAATCATTAGCAAAAATGCAGCACAGTCTTAGCTGTACTCACTTCCTTTATCCACAGCAGTTTAGGTGGCTGCATTTCCACAGACATCACTCCCCCGACATAGCTCAAAACCTTGTGTTGTGTTGCATTGATGCGCTCAACTTGACTGACTGCACGATGGTCCATCCACATAATAATATTCCTACAGTTTTGTCCTTGGGAGGAGGAAAAAAAAAAAAAAAGATATTATTTTAGGTCTGGTTTGACCCCACCTCAGTACTGCAAGTTACTAGACTCTAACCTGCTTCACACTTTTCTACATAGGAAACTCAAATTCTACTTGCTTTAACAATCCAGGGTAGATATCTAAAGATAAAATTCTAGCACTCTGAGCTTTCACTTCTACATAGGAAATTCAAATTCCATTTGCTTTAATAATCTGTATTAGAGATCTAAAGATAAATTTCTAGCCCAATTTTAAGAAACGCTGTGCACTTGAGAACACTGACTGAAACCAATCAGCCTTGTGAGCACACAAGCACTTTGGAACAGCATGCTCTTGTAGAATATATTTCATTCAAAGAACCCAAACTTCTCGACAAAATACACATATTTAGTTAAAAATATAAAGAAGCACTGTGGTGACTAAGAACTAAAAATGTGTCAAAATCTGAGCAATTACATTATAAATTGAAATTCACTCAGCTAGTCAGCTAGCTAGATAGTCACAGGGTTTCTCCTTCCTATTGTATTGTTTTAAGAAGAACTACCCTAATTCCTTTCAGGAATACAGTTTAAGGGGTGTAATTTTCAGAAATGCATTTATTTTGGATGTGGAAGGAGAAAGCCTTTGGTAAGTCTGCATAACACATGAGAACAAGAAGCAAAGAACATTTGATGACAATGAACCTACAGAGGACCTGCTAGGCAGGCGAAACAGCAATCCAGGTGACACTTTGGGTTCCTCTCTTGCTAAGTACACTGCAAACCAAGGTTCGTGACAAGACACTCGTGGACACTTAATCTTGAACACATAATCCAAGACAAGGCAGGAGTATGAGGCACACCAGTATTTCTAATGTGGATTCAACCACAACTTAGAACTGAGACTGCCTGAAACCACACGGTTGTGTGCCCACAGCAGTGTGACAGTATTCAGTGCCTTCTTGTCCTTTTGTTTAACACCACCACTGCGTAAACTCAAAGTTCTGGGGGATATCAGAGAATAAAAAATGAGAACTGAGTTTGACTCAACAGACCAAAATAACCCCAGACACCACTAGGCATTGAAAATATTGTAAGAGACTCTCAAAACGAAAAATAAATAATCTCATCTAAATTTAGAAAAGGACATTTTGGGGGTAAAGCTGGTTTTTTGAGAAGGATAGGAGGAGATGACATATATATTTGAGAATAGAAAGGAAACAGAATTACGATTATGATTCTGTAACTACTGGCACATACCTAATCTTATCAGGATTCACTGAAAAAAAGCGCATCATAGACTTTTCTTGAGTTTTCCGAATCATCTACTCAAAAATGAATAAAAAAGTAAAACTCTTAGAAGAAGACCACAGGCTGTTTCTGAAGTTTAGCACTCTCCTAGACAAAGACAGAGCACCAGTGTAATAAAATACACAAGCTGAACCTCTTGCCAGCAGCTCCATGACACAGTGAGCAGTTAAGACTATACTCACACTAACGTTTTTAGCATTCCTTTAGCCAGTGTGGATGGACACTTATACACACTATTTCCCTAAGAAGCACTCTCTTTGAGTCAAGATGAATGAATTCGGTCTTAGGATACCAAATAGTTAGACAAATGGTAAGTAATTTAATTTTGCAGGAGAATTAAAACAGTAAAACCAGAAAATAATCCTCTTGTAAGAAAGTTTTTCTATCATCTATATCTCCCAAGAGCCAATCCCATAATCTGGCATTTGGACGAAATTGTAAATTCACTCACATCAGTAGCAAAACACACAGTGACACCAATTTTTGTGCTGGAGCCCTACCTTCACAGTTGACTGCCAAAGGCTGGAACTGTTTATCCACAACAACAAGGGAACATGTAGCATCAAAACCAACCCCTCGAATCCGGCTAGGATCTACTCCGCAAACAACTTTCTGCAAATATATAAAACACACACGAATACAAATATATCCATACATATGCCAGGACCATGTGAAATAATGAGTACAGAAAACGAGTTACAAGTCAGAAATGCAAGCTCAAACTCAGAAATTTCTGAGATTCAGTATTCTTTAACACCTCTAATCAAAAATACGCTGAATTACCAAAAATTATTTGGTTTTCAAAACTGAATTCAAAGGTCCATGAAAGGTTCTTTAATAACTTTTTAATCTTACTAGCCACAGTCCTGGCTAAAAGCAGGAGCACAACAATATCGGAAAATAAAGGTAGCAGAAAACTAGCAATGTCAATTTTCTGTCTTTTCTAAAAGCTGGGAGTTTAGCTGCATGTAAAACATGGACACAGGGTCAGGGCCGAGTGTTTCCATCAGTTACTTCACTCAGTTCCCACCTGTGGAAGTAACAACCTTCAAGAATTACTTTGGTAATATTATGCCACAGCTTTTTGTCTTGCAATAGTGAAGGGTCCCAAAAATGAAGTTGGTCAAAACCATAGAAGTGACAATACTTCTGCAATGCACACCTTTTGAAAAGGTCTGCTACCAAGAGTTTGGACAGTATATTTTTTGGAAGATTTTCCTGAAAAAATCACCACCTGAGGAGGTCTGAACTTCATGGCTTCCAGCAGCACCGGAACAAAATACCACTGACACCCACACGGCTTAAGTGTCAAGTGAGGTTGCAAGACATCTAAAATGTAAGTCAGTAATATATTGCCACTTCTCAGCAATAATAAAAGTATCATTATTTTAATTAGTACTGTAACGAAAGACTTTCACTAGACTTGCTGCAGTGCCAGTTTCTTACTGACTCTGGAGAGCTATAGCTTCAGAGACCATGATTTATTGCTTACGTACAAGAGAATGTATTTAAAGAGGTCCAGAGCAAGAACAAAGCAATACATACAAAGAAAAATCAAGTAAGCACAATAAAAGACTTGCTCTGCCTTAACAACGAGCTGTTCTTCCCTATCACTCCCTTCTTTTCCTTCCTTCCTTGCCCCTCACCTTATCTTCTTCATCTCAGGGCGTTTTTGCAGAGCCAAGCTCATTAATGTTTGAAAAGGCTGATCAATAACAAGAGAATGGGCGAGCTGTCCATCTGCAAATTACCAAGCACATCATGAATATTTTAAAAGCCAACCTTAGAACATGGAGCAGGCTGAGGTTTTATTACGAAGAATGAAATGGCGTACATGTGCCCTGCCAAGCAAGGTCACTAATTCACTTCCACCACCAGCATGTACCAGCAGATCCTTGGATCAGAGGGTACAAATTTTCCCTTACAGTAAGGTTTGCTGGTTCTATGCTTGGTAAGATCCACAAATGCATATAATTTATTCTGGACTTAAAATACTGGACAGGCATCTTAATGGGGATCACAGGTGACAGACATCACGTCAGGCACCATCCACAACCCAGATTACAACCTCTCTACAATAAACTCCTTTGACCCCAGTGCAGCACAATGCATTGCCAGGTTCTCAGCAGCCTCGACTCCTTGAAGAACTGTCTCGTGACTAGGACACAGACCAGCAAAACCAAACCCACTGAGGGCAGTGGTTAAACCCTCCCGCTGAGCTAACAGCACAAAGGAAGGCCTTTAAGTACCTTAAACTTTCAGAAGTTGAAGAGCAACCTGCAACACACATCTCCTTCATTTTGTTTTTCTTTGCATACCTTTGTGACTGAGCAACAAGCAGCCCATATGTCTGCAGAGGATTGCTCGTAGTGGTCTGGTTGGGGCTCCCAAATGTGGATTGGCTGATCTGCATGTGCCACTACTGTCCCAAACTCGTCTACCAAGGCTGCACGAACACTTGCTGACCCAACATCAATTCCAACATAGTATTTTATTGGAGTCTGCTTCTTACTGTGCATTTTTAATAAATCCTGTTGGGGGAAAATTAAAAAAAAAGGGGTTAAAACCAGATAAAATGACTGATGGTGGAAAGCAAAGCTGTGCTGAACAGGACAGGAGAGATGCTGTGCAAGCACTTTGCTTGATAACTCCTTTCTGCAGCAAGTCTTTACTTGGCAGTTTTAAATTAATTAGAGTTTTCAAGTCTCTAGTTACATTTTTTTTCTGCAAATGTTTGTACAAAAGTTGCATGGCACAGAAGATCCTGGAAAGCAAATTGTAAATTTGCATGTAAGAATATGCATGCTAAGATAAAGTCCATGCATTCACACAATCAAGGAACTGAGCTATGGCCATACAGCATCATGTCTACAAAAAGGGAAAAGGGGGAAGGAGATAGGAAGGGAAGGAAAGGGTACGGTTCCAAACTCAGCAACAATCAGGAGCCAGTACTTTACACCAGAAAGGAATTTTCAATCCAGAGACTTTGGGGTTTCCCTGGATTCTAGCAGATGAAGAAGATGCTGATGCCTGGTAAGCTGGATTCAGCTCTGGACAAGACAGCAAGAACCACAACAGACACATCATTGCCTCGATGCAAATAAATTACACTCCAGAAACTCTGAAAGGGGTGGTGTGCCTGGCCCCACTGAACCCTCAACTGCAGAGGAATGAGGAGCCCAGAGCTGCTGTCTTCCATAGAGCCAACCAGATAATGAGTGGCATATTGCTGCTGAATGAGGCAGCGAGTCTCTGCACAATCTGAAAACAGTTGCCTCTCAAAAAAAAAAGTGGTATGATGCTGATAATTAAAATAACTAAGTGACGATCTGGTAGATATTACCCAATTTTACCTTGTAAAGAAAAAAAAAATAACAGCACCTGAAAAACAAACTGGTTAGATTTTTAAGAGCTATCCACCATCAATCCACACAATTTTAAAGATTCGGAAAAGAATTTGCTGAAAATGCGTTGAGTTGTGAGAGCATCCCAGGAATTCTCTAACTACTCTCTGACAACCTACAGGAACAAAGTGAGGTTAAGTTAATTGACTTAATTATTCACAATGAGTTGCTTACTTCACTATATTACCTTTAACTATTTGACATTTAACACAGTGACAAATGCACTGTACTTAATTTCTCACAGTTTGTCCTTAATTAATAGTTAACATTTACATTTTAATCAAGCTGAGAGAATGCTAAGGAAGAGCTGATACAAAGAATTCGAAACGTCAGACAAGTATCAAGTTTAGAGCTTGTATGAATCTCCTGTTAAGCCCAGAAACACACAAAACTCAGGTGACACAGCTTCAGATTTCCAGAAAATGAATGGATCAATTACAATTTAATGAATACATAGTCTTTAAAGAGCATGAAAAAGCATCTACTTAAAAAACAGCCCATCTCTCCCAAAGAAGTGGCCTGGGTAACTTCTGTATATGGAAGATGAGTTGTTTAGAGGGTGGGATATGGACAAAGGGGGAAAGATTTGGAAAGTACTATAACAACAGGATTATTCACATTTCAAATTAATTCTTTTTTTTTTTTTAATAGCTAGAATTTAGTGGCAAAGTACACCAAAATCAGATAGAAAAAGCAGTGGAACAGAAACGATGAAAGTCCTCTTTCTACATTCAGACAATAACAGCTGATCATACAGCTATGTAAATTGTAAATTGCACTCGATTTTGGAAGCAATGTTTTTCACTGATAAGACAGAAAGTCAAGGGTTTTTTCCCCCATGAAACATCTTGAGTACAGGTCGAGAAGCATCCTCGGGTGGCAGTTCGAACATGGCGTTGGCACGATTTAAGTGGCTGTCCACATGTATGGTTGGCTTGTAACCACTGCTGTTCACAGCTAGCACAAAATTCATCATCACTGAGGGCTGGAGCTAGCAGGTGAAATAAAGAAAAAAAAGGTGGGGATAAAAAAAAAACGCAGAGAAAAAAGTCAATCCTCTATCTCAGAGAACTCCAAGTATCATCCTGGATAAAAATTATGTAGTGTAACAGCTGAATTAGGACGAAGTGTCATTTGCACTTGAAACAGTGTAAGCCAACACCTTGGCTAAAGAAAACTAGAGGAAGTTGTACAGATCATCAGCTCCTGATAGGATCAGAAACTAGGAAAAACTCAGTCATGGAGCATATTGCAGTACTGATGGCAATACCAGCTACCCTCTTCCAGCGTTCTGATTCTGCCCAGTAGATTCAGCGCAACCCACGGTAATCTTGTTAAGCAAGGTCATCTGTACGAGCAATGAGCAATCAGCTAAAAATAATGGTGTGCCATGAGTCTAACACCTAGGAATATTGGCAGGAGAGCTCGCTTCATTTCCTTGGCCCTGGCTCTACGACCTGGTCAGACTAAGAGAAGCTAATGCCTCTGTCACAGAGAGGACAAATCTCCTGGTATCAGTGATTAATCGTGCATCTGTCAGCGGGGGACACTTACAGCACTCTGCATCTTCCTCTCAGCCCTGGGCTGGAAAAGCAGCTTTAAGACATTCTTTTCAACAGATGATGTTCACTTGTTAATTTTTGCATTCAATCTCCTCAACACTTACAAGGCTGGCTGCAGATGCTGCTAGCTAGTTGCAAGAAATTTTACTACAAAGAAATTGCATAAGACTGTTCCTGATACTATCTCATGAATTTCCCTGTTTTTCCCTATTTCAGTACTGCCTTTAGCTGCTGACTGATAAAAAGAAAAGAAAAACCACAAGCTGCAAAGCAGATTTTTTTTTTTAACCACACGCAAATCTTACTTAATTTTCACAGAATACAAACAGCAAAAGGAGTATTTTACACCCTGCCTCCTTCTCTCACGCACACAATATTAGTCTAAATTTTTATTTCTCTTCCTTGTGTGGCAGCCTTGATTTTAGCTCATTAATATATTTTTGTTACTTAGAGAACAAGCTTAACAGATGTTAGAGAATTAAGCTCATAGTACCTCCTACTCAGCACTTCAAATTATGGCTTTGCATTGGATTTTTCCCACAAACATTTGAAACCTGAAACCAAATCAGCCCAAGTAATGTTGACTTCCTTTTTTCCTTACTAAGCAACCAGGATGTGCACGTGCGAGTGACTGAGCAGGAAGCAGAGTTTGTTTCTGTGCTCAAGCAGCACAAATCAGTCCATGCAGATCCACCACTTCACTTCTGCAAATCAGTGAACACAAGAAAGAGTTAAGTGGCAGAGTCCAAAATCAAGAACCACAAACCTATTTTAACCAGCCTTTCTCTGAGTAAAGCTCACCTAGATTTACAAAGCAATAGTTCCATATCTTACCAAAAAAAAAGCCTAAAAGTAAATATTAATCCTTTTTTTCCAAGCACAGCAAGCACTAAGTTACTGAGGCTGCTCAAAGTACAGCGTCTCTGCAATGGGATCTGATCTGCTTGCAAAAACATCGTTTGATGCCAAGAGTTTTTCTGGAATACCAATCACTTGGTATGCCACCGACTGGTCAACCAGATCCACAAAAAGCACTGGCATCTCTAGGTCATAAATGTCACCAATTAGGGACTCTGCACAAAGGTATTTCTTGAGAACCTAAGAACTCCGCAGTGAGGCTGGTGTAAAATATTTAGCCAAAGTACTTTAATAATGGATTAAAGAGGAATGTTGTCATTCAGTTTTGTTTACAGAAGATTCCTTTGGTACAAGAGAAAGGTCCAAATCAGAAACGAAGAAATTCTTTAATGGAATTCAGAGGTAGAAAAAAGTTCCAGCACAAACTGCCTGCTTTGGAATCGGACACCAACGCTCATTGCCATGTGCAAATAAAACTTTGTTGTGCAAATAAAACTTTGTTTTGCATTTTATATCTACTGGATTCTTAGCATAGAGCTTCTGCAGTCAACACAATCATGAGGAAAACAGTGAACCAGAAAAAAGACTGAAATAAAAGACCCAAGAGTCCAATCAGACAGGTGGATTCATGAGCACAATATTTCTAACAAGACATTAAAATATTTGATGCACGGATCATGCGTGTTTATGGACTTCCCAAGTGGCAGATAGCAGTGGTGACAACACCACTACCTTCTACACCCCTGAAGTACCTAACTCAAGAAGCCTGGCTTCTTGCAGCCGAGAAAAAAGGCCTCCAAAACATCTTTGCCTGTCCATGGTAGAATCAGGGCCTCATATTTACAACTCACTTGAATTTGCAAACAGAAGGAGAGAGAGAAAAAAAATAATTTTTAAAAGACAAGTCCAGCTTGACCGTGTTAGTATATGATTGTAAGTGCTAAAACAGGAGAAGAAGCCAAAATTCCCTCCGAGCACTAAACCAGCAATCGCCTCTTTCTTTGCAAATCACAGCAGGGACAGAATGGCTTTTCCAACAAGCATTTATGATCAAAGGGCTGCAGCATATGATAAATATTTATATGGCCCATTAAATAATAGTCTGTATAAATATTATTCAAAATGTTCGTGCTGCAAACCACAGACTTCCCAGTTTATCCTTAAACAAACGTGCTAGTTTTCCCACATAGGCAGTGAAAAAAAAGTGGTGAAACTGTCATTTGCAAGAAATTTTTTTTTTTAAAAAAAGAAAATACTTTACATTGTTTATTTTAATTTGAAAGGAATGACTAAGTAACCAGATGACTGTTTCATTACAACTAACCACTAAACTCCGTTTGTCCTACCTTACCTCACGGCTATCCAACTGCCAGGACGTACCTCTCCGCTGAAGCTCCAGTAAGGAAGGCTGCACACTCACATGCCCGTGGGCCCAAGCTCAGCAGAAGTATTTATCAGCAGAAGTATAGATTTTGTGCTATCGTGCACTTAAACACCAGGAATTACGAAGGACTGGCACGTCTGTTTTAAACTTTGATCTTTGGAACGCTGCGGGCTGCCCAGACCCAGAGATCACGGATAAACAGCATGTTTTCAGTAGTGCAGCTGTGCTTTTCTATGGATTACCAAAACAGACTCGAATTAAGCTTCATAATCTTAGATCTAAATATGTTAAATAAAAGCCACTTTTCAATTGCA